CGCCCCACAGCCCTTCCCACTCCCCCGGCTCTACTCACGGTTGAGGAGCCCGAGCTGCAGGAGGGAGGCCAGGGCAGTGAGGATCATGAAGAGCAGCAGCCCTCCCCGGCGCCCCAGGAACCTGACCACCACACACATAGCCAGGCAGGAGGCCAGGGCGATGCTGGCCATGGTGTAGTAGTCCGCGTAGAAGTTCTCCAGCAGTGGCACCTTCACCTCATGGCCCATCATGCTCCTTGCGAAGCAGTGGTGGATCCCGAACCCTGTCAGCCTGTGGGAGACACACCGAGAGGGCCATGTGCGGGCATGCAGGGACACCAGGGACCGCGCCACGCCTGGGAGTCACTGTGTCCAACAACAAGGAATCGTGTGAGCGGCTCCATGTGTAATCAAAAGTGTGCCGTTACCATCAGTGAACGGATAGGAGAGTGACACGCAGACTGAAGACTTCAGAGAGGTGACCCTCGCTGGGGCGCGTACTCACTCCCTGCCATCACTCCAGGAGAAAGGTGTGAGCATAAAGGCAGCGAGGCCTTCTGTTCAAACAGCAACTTTCACGGGAACCCCACATGCAAGACAGAGTGCTCCCCTCGTGTCACTCCTTCAATCCCACATCAGCGACGTAGGAGCTACTGTCAGACCCACCTCATAGGCGGGCACACAGGCTGAGGGAGGTCCAGCCGCTTGCACAGATTACTCAGCTGGCAAAGGACAACCTTAGAGACACACTGCCCGTCTGTGTCTGCCTCTTCCTTCAGCACTCGGGGCTCTGGGGGCTTGGGAATCTGTCCAGAGAATGACCTATTTAACCCTGTTCTGCCACTACTTGTCAAAGGCACCCTGAAGAACCAGTAGAAGCCAGGCCAAATGGTTGGAGACTTTCAGTTCTTCATTTACATCCGTTTCCTCCACTGCCCGGATCAAGCCTCTTGTCTGCCCCACAGGATCATAGAAATCTGCTGGCAACATGTGTCCCAGCTGCTGCAGACAGATGTCTGCTCTGGGAAGCATCTGTGCACGCCCAGGGAGGCTGCAGCAGTGGTGACCACACCACGTGGACTGAACCCAGGGCTCTGAAGGGCCCTTTGGGACGGGGTCTGGTGTGAAACGTTTGCACGCTGGGGGAGCCCCTTTGTTATGTCAGCGCTCAGCATCCATTCCCTTCTCCTCCAACTCCCTTGGTGCTCTCATCACGCCTCGAAGATGCATCAGGCCCCACCCCTGCAGCAGACCCCACCCCTGCAGCAGGATGCTGCCCTTTGCCAACACACGCCTTTCTGCTTGGGAAGCACTCAGCCGAGGACCCAGCCCCTGGGCGCCCTTTTCTCATCTAGTAACTGAGACTCAGCGAGTCTCCTGGACCGATGACTGCCCTTTCCTCCTGGCTTAGGGAGGGTGCAGGGAAGTCTTCACCTTTCTGTTCTGGTGGAGAGGAAGTCCTCTGACCACAAAGGCAATTTAGGACAACAAAGCCAGAGAAAGAGGCACCCTCCAACAAGAATCATTAGAATGTCATCTTGTCTTTGTCACGTTTTGTGTTTTTTTCCAAAATACAACTTGGAGAAGTCACTCCATTCTTAATGGTCCTGTTGGTCTAGCCAGTGTCTGCCCAAGATGGACAGTGGTGCGGTGACCGTGCCCAGGGCCAACTCTGGGCCAGGAGGCTGAGGCCTGAGGTCTTGGCCCTGACCACCCGGTGGCCATGGCTGGTCAGTCCCTTGCCTGGGCCATGGTCTCCTCACCTGGGGGACAGGGTGTAAGTGAGGTCTGAGCTTTCCTATCGCTCTGGCAGGAGAACCTTTTTATCTTCCCAAAATTTAATCAGGAACCCCAATACCAAGACCTGATTCAATGGAGCTGCTTTGACAGAAACAGCTGTGGGGAATGGCAGGACTAGCCTGGCCCATCCTCTCGCAGTCGAAAGGATGCACATCTGTGTGAACTAGCCCTGGGCCCCGCCTGTGCAGCCCGGGGTGGCTGGCTGGGGCTCTAGCTGCACTGAGGCTGGGGTTGGGGCCCATATCCTCCAGCAACTGGTTAGAAAGCTCTGACAGGCTTATCAGACTTAGCTGGGCCCCTCAGCGAAGGGCGGAGCCCTGGGCAGGCCAGAGGGCCGGCTCAGTCATATTCAAAAACCAGCTGGGAAGGAGGAGGGCCTGGAGGCCCTTTCCGGCCCCTCCCTGTCCCCGCCCTCGGATGTGTCCCTCTGCAACTCACGAGTTCACACACAGGACCACGATGTTCTTCCACAGGTTCCGGGTTCCCACCATCTTCACGATGCAGACCTTCTTGGGCCTCCGGGACAGCTCCTTCTCCAGCTCTGCGGAGAAAGAGAGCGTGACCTCTCCGCAAGGCCCGGACCGGCGGCCTCGAAGACAGCCGGTGCCCAATCAGGCATCGTGAACAGGGAGAATGCTGTGGGGTTTCCCCTCTAAGGCAGGGGACAGAGCCTGGCTGTCAGGATAGCGAAGGTGTTCACGGACTCTAACCTGGCTGTTCAGATTCCCCGCGGGGTGGGGTGTGGAGGGAGCCATGCTCACTGTCAGCCTCTCCTGGGAGCCAGGCAGGATGCACACGCAGTGATTAGCACAGGCTCATTCCACACGGGCAGAGGTCAGGGCCGAAGGGTGATTCTAGGATACTGAGCACTCACTGGGCTCTGGGCACTGAGAACAGTGGCTTCCTTCTAAGTCTGACCTGTCTGCACCGCCCACTGCTCAGAGAAGCACATGCTGACATGCTCCTTAACTGAACTGTGGGCGGAACGCACGATGGCGTCGCTGCTGCTTCCGACACCGCCCCTCCAGTGCATGCATCTTCGAAAGAGAAATAAATGCAGGAACTGTGTGCCTATCTGTGCACACACAGATACACACAATCTACACGTGGGTATACTTTTAACGCTCAAAGCCTTTGGCAGCTGGAAAGACATGATGTTTTGGCTGAAAGTGATGTGACCAACCACACAGGAGACAGTTTCTTGCGAGGCTCAAATGGCCTCCGAAAGCCATTCTGAACAGACTGACGGCATCCCAGGGCCGCGTTAACCGGGTTCATGGGTTTGCTCAAGTGCTGGTGTTGACTTAGCAAGTTAACATGGAAGATTAAAATAGGCAACGTCTGGACCTCCACGGCCTCCCTACCCCTCTGTGCACAGAAAAGCCACCGTCCAGCCTCCCAGGCCCTTCTTGCTCCTGCCCAGGCCTGTCCTGGGGGAATAATCCCCTACTCGGGAGCTAAAAGAGAAAAGGACCACTTAACCAATTGGGTGGCTGGCCAGAGCTCTTTAAGATTGTTAAGGCCACGAAAACAAGGAAAGACTGAGAAACTGCTGCAGTTCGGAGGGGACTGGGGAAACGGGCTGACTAAATGCCACCCTGGAGCAGGAAGAGGTTACTCATGGGAAGATGGTGACATGCAGATAAAGGCTGGCGTTTGGTTAACGGTAGCGTCCCCGTGGCAGTTTCTCAGCTGTGACAACTGTGCCGTGGTAATATCAGATGGTAATAAGAGGGGAGACTGAGTCAGGGGTCTTCAGAAATTCTGTACTACTTTGCAACTTTTCTGAAAACTTAAAGTTATCCCAAAAAAGTCTACTACGTTTTTCTTAAAAAGCAGTGGAGGTGGGAAGTTCCCCGTATACTAAGAAGCCTTTAGTGCTCAGAGGAAACAGGCCTGCCTCCCAGAGCAGCAGCTCCCTCAGGGAGTCTCTGAAGAGTGCCCTCCACACCCACACCCCTGCCACCTGCCCCCCTTACTTCTCTCCTGTTCTAGCTCCTTCCTGCCATCCAATGGCAGGAGGGCCGCCAGCCTCATTAGTTACAGTTGGAAGGAAAATATTTTGCTTAACCATAAGGATTTAGGAGCTTTTTATTTAAATAAAATTTTTTTTGGATCAGTGTCACCAGCTGTGGCATAGGAAGGAGAAGAAAAAGCCTCTCCTATGTCTGAGGGATACCATACCACTTGAGTTTCCAGAACTTTCTTCCTTTCCATATTTAGGTGTGAAGATTGAGGTCTGTGCACAAGCCAGACGGCTGGCATTTCGGCTGTGTCCACAGACCCTCTCCTGAGGTCTTCCTGACTTTTATGCTCCCCTTTGTAAAAATGGACTAATTTGATTTACAAACATACTTTCCTCCTGGTTAAAAATCTAAAAAACTTTTAAAGAATATAGAAATATTATAGTTAATAGATCATGTTGGATCCAGTGACCTGAGTAATTTCACTTTTGTAAAACTTACCAGGAATCAACTATAATAGCTCCACTTGCTCACCATGAAAATCTTACAAGAAGAAACCTTAAATGCCCATTAAGATGTTTACATAAGTTTAAAGGTTGTGTTTTTTTAAATGTGGCCCAAACTTAACTACTAACACATTTTTAGAAGTAAAACAGATGTTGCTAAAGAAGCTGTAGCAATTGTAACTATAACTGAGTTTTGTTTTTTATATAACATTAAACTCTAGAGCCCCAGGTCTGAAGAACTGACTGCAGTCTACAGAGGAACTGCATTCTAATTGGAATGAAATGAACTTGTCTGGGCCACTGACATTTTGTCCGTTAGACATATCACCCACCAGCCTATCAACAGCAACATAACCTTGCTCAGCACTAGGTCTGTTCTAGGACAAAAGTCCACCAGCCAGGTTACAGGAAACATTAGAGGCCGTCGGAGACCTCCGGAGGTAACTGCATAGGTAACGGAAAGAGGCCTTTCCACCTCTGCTTATCAGACAGAAATCGCAGGGCTTTGTGAAGTCCTTGCACACGGGAATAACGGGTAAAAAGGGGCATGAGGGTCGACAGACTCTGCATCAAGGAAACAGCTGTTAAAGCAATTCTCCTCCTGCTCCCCAGCCAGGACTCTTCCACCCTCTGGCTTCGAGCCATTAGGAACATTTCAAAACAAAAAACAAATAGAGTCAAGTTAGGAATCTCCCACCCAGGCCAGGCACCTCCTGTCACTCTGCCCCCTCTTCTGCCCCCAGGCTAGTCCCTGTGAGATGCAGCCAGAGGGCCCAGGTCTGTCTGGGCGGGGCCTCCCTTCCAGAATGGGGGTGGGTGGGGTGGGGGGGGGGCAGCGAGGGGCCCACAGACCCAGCAGAGTCCCGGCTTTCAGCCGTTATTGTTGAGGCTCCTTGGGAAAGTTACTTAGTTGCTCTGTGCCTCAGTTTCCCATCTGTTAAGTGGAACACTGTGCCCACCTCAGAGCACTGTTACAAGAACCGAATGAAAAGCTGACCCAGTCTGTCCCCACTTCTCAACACTGACTGCAGAAGGGAAGGTGTCCCTGCAGACACACTGGAAGGGTCATGACCTCTCCGTGGTTTGGATATCCAGGGGAGAGGCCAAAGAATGCTTCTGGAGAACAGCAGAGGCCAGCCTCAGAGATGCAGGGGAAACACACGCCAAGGTCATTTGCATTCATTTGGATGGGGGTGTGCAATAAACTGTCTTTGTTTTAAGTTTGTGTACACTGCTAACGCATTCCTGGTAAAATTGGAAAAACGTCAGATACAGAAATAAAAAACAAGAAAGGACCAAAAGAGAAGGGAGGTAAGGAAGAGGAAGCAAACAGATGGAAGAAGAGGATGAGAATAAGAAAAAGAAGAGAGGAGGAGGAGGAGGAAGAGGAGGAGGAGAAAGACAGGAGGATCAGAAGAACGAAGAGCAGGTGGAGGAAAAGGAGGAGTAACAGGAGGAGCAGATGGAGGAGGAGGATCAGGAGGAGGTGCAGGAGTAGCAGGAGAAGGATCAGGAGGAGGTGCAGGAGTAGCAGGAGAAGGATCAGGAGGAGGTGCAGGAGTAGCAGGAGAAGGATCAGGAGGAGGTGCAGGAGTAGCAGGAGAAGGATCAGGAGGAGGTGCAGGAGTAGCAGGAGGAAGATCAGGAGGAGGAGGAGCAGCAGGAGGAGAAAGAAGAGGAAGAACAGGAGGAGGTGAAGGAGTAGCAGAAGGATAAGGAAAAGGAGCAGGAGGATGAGGGGGACCAAGTGGAGGAGGAGGAGCAGCAGGGGGAGGAGCAGCAGCAGGAGGAGGAGTAGCAGAAAGAGGAGGAGCAGGTGGAGGAGGAGCAGGAGGAGGAGGAGGAGCAGGTAGAGAAGGAGCAGGAGGAGCAGAAGGAGGAGGAGCAGGTGGAGGAGGAGCAGGTGGAGGAGGAGCAGCAGGGCGAGGGGGATCAAGTGGAGGAGGAGGGGGAGCAGATGGAGGAGGAGGGGGAGCAGGAGGAGGAGCAGCAGCAGCAGGAGGAGGAGGAGCATGAGGGGCAGGAGGAGGAGGACTTTGGACAAGGTACCTATTGCTGGGGACCCTGAGTGACCTGATACATGGCCCCTCTTTTCTCACTTCAGGTTCCAAACAGATGGAGAAGAGCAAGGCAGGTGAGGACAATATCTCTGCTCCACCACTGGGAGGGACCTGTGGTTGGAATGCCTGCATCGTACAGACTCATCTGCCTATCCTGGCAAGGCTGGTCCAGGCTAGCTTCCCTGGGTACTACCCGAGAGGGCCTGATGTCTGAGGACACAGGACCTGCACCCTGCACATGGCCCAATCTCCAGGAGAAAGAGGAGAGGGGGTCCGCTCTGCCTCCTCAGGTCTGGCTCCTTCCACGAGGAGGGAATGTGGGGTGTGGGGAAGCAGTGTTCCCCAACACTCAGCCTCTCTGGGCCCCGTTTCCTCACATGTACAGCAGGATGGCCTGGTTATGGTCCTCCTAAGGCTCTGATGAGGATCATGTGCACATAGTGTTTCAGCCAGGCCTTGCGGGGGCACTGCCCATTGCTGCGACTAGGAGCAGGGGTGGAGCTCTTATTCCAAGATTTCTCTGTACAGTGGCTGCCGTCCATGTGGCCACATTTGAAACCAGCAGGCTCTACTCCTGCAGTACATGTTCAAAATCTTGGGAATTATGATACAAGGAGAGCTGTCAGTACTTGGACATGCCATGTGACACTAATGATTGTAGGAGTGATACTGTGACAATGACACTCCAGAGCAGACCCAAATATTGGTGGTAATTCAGCTGCAAACTCCACTGAGAAAATCTGCCATGTTCAATAATAAACTGAAGATCTGTTTAAAAGATGAAGGGCATGGAACATTTTGGAACATGAGGTTTTCTTCTGGCCTGAATCCAAGATTAGGATACGCTGACAGGGTCAGGAACTCCCCTAATGCATACACCTGCAGCCTAACCTGAGACACTCCTCCACCTCCAGGCAACACAACCAGTAACTGCAGCTGACCACGTTTCATGTATTTACTAGCTTTTGTGGAAGGCCTGCTAGGAGTCAGGTCTGCTAGTGCTGGGCAACAGCGGAACCAGGCTCTGCAGACACAGGGCGATGGGCCCTAAGGAGCTACACAAACCGTTCGTCACAGCTGGATGCTAGCAACGGGCCCCGGTGCCTGCAGCTGAGATGGTGCACCACTGGAGAGCTGGCCGGGGTCTGAGGAGTCAGGCTAACCTGAGGGCTGGTTTCCCAGGAGCCGGCCGAATGAGGGCGAGGCTGAGGACAGGGAGGGCCCTGCAGCCAGGAGGTACTGGTGCATTCTGAGGGCCCAGCGAAGGCCAGAGCATCTGTGAGAGGCAGGCAGACGTGAGACAGGGTCTCAGAGCAGTTGGAGGACTGGGGGTCTAGCCTACAGGTCCTGGGAAGCAGTTCTGAGTAGGAGGTGATGTGAGGGGAAGGGTAGCAGTGAGGATGGAGTCAAGGAAGGTAAGAGGCGAAGTAGGACACTAAGGTGTTGGGAGGTGGATTAGGTGAGGCGATGGGAAGATTTCCAGCAGAAAAGCAAGTCCAGCCTCAGAAAGTTGGAAGTGACCAAATTAGATGAAACAGACACCTGTCTTCCCGCAAGCACTGGGCGGCTTCTGCCGCGATGCTATCATCAGTGTGTTCGAGAGCTGGGTGTGAACAAGATCAGGAGGCAGGTGTGAACGCAGTGCCCCCCAGGAGTGGATGTGTGATTATCCTCCTGAGGGGAGGGGAGGCCACCTGTGCCAGCTACCACCCCTCAGCCTCCTGCAGGGGCACCAGCATAAAAAATCACACCAGCAAAACTCAGAGGCAAAGAAAGGGGAAAATTCATTTCCCTCCAGAAATAGGAGGGAAATGGATGAGTGTAATTTGGATTGAGAAAACAAGCTTTTCCCAGACAGTATTTCAACCTGAAAGTAGAACATGTGATTTAATTAGGGAAATTCCCGAAACAAATTACACGGAAAGACTTAAGAGCATTATCTTCATAATGAATGGGGCCTGGATAAGTTTCGGGAAGAGAGCTGGACACTCCAAAATCAGCAAACATGCCCAAAAGGAGGAAAGTGAATTCAATACGAATTCCTCTCCAAACAGGCACATTTGTCTCAGAGCTCAGCCCCCTCTCTCAAAAACAGCCAGCGAAGCCACTTCTGCTGGACTTCTTGGGTTCAAGTCCCCGCTCAACTGCTTACTCAGGATGTGACCTCTGGCAAGATACTTAACCCTCCCTGTGCCTCAGTTTCCCCTCCTGCACACACAGATGACTATAGTAACCCCCTCAGAGGACTCAAGTTGGGAAGAAATATAAGTTAATACACATCAAGCATTTAAGAGTAAATATTAGATGTAAGTTAACATTTGCAAGTCATTTAGAAAAGTGTCTGGTCATTGCCGCGGGACAAGGGCCACAGCCGCCCTCTGCGGAGCACCAGCACTCAGCGCTCTTCTCGGAAAGCAGACCTGGCTCATGTCCTCCTTTGTTCCAGTAAAGCATGGGCTCTGGGCCTCCTGAACTCTTGCCTGTGCTGACGTGGAGGTGGCCTAGCCTTGCTGTCCCCACCTCCCAGGTCCTGGGCACAGGCCAAGGCAGGGGCTCACCTGGCTGAGCAGCAGCATCTGGGACACTGAACCCCAGATCCCCTGAGTCAGGAGGCTGTGAGCAGCCTGTCTCGGACCACGGAAGAGGCGCGTATAGAAGCCTCTCCCGGCCAGTGGGCTCTGAGTTTCTCGGCTCATGCTCCTTTCCCATCGGGACCGGCACATTCTCCAACTTCACGCAGGTGTCTGCTCACCTGTACTTGGAGCCAGGCTCCCCAGCCCTCAGAGTGGGTCCTCACCACCGCCCTCTAGCCCTCCACTCTGAGATTTTCCCTACAGCATGCATCCCCCGGGCACATTACACATCTCATTGTGCGTTGTGGGCCTGCAAGCTCCACGAGAGCAAGGCTCTGCCTCTTGCTTTCTCTGCTCCGGAGCAGTGCCTGCCCATGGCGACGCTTAGTGAACGTCTGCGGCATCCAAGTTTAGGTCACGGTGGGAAATGTGCGTATCTCTCTGGGACAAGGGCCTGCAGATTATTTGTCTGGGAAATTTATAACAACAGTGCCATCAATACGGGTCTTCAGGTTGGGGGAGTGGGTCAGGGCTTGGGTTGGGTCTACCAGGGGCTTTCAAAAGGGCATCTGTGCACCGTGGGCACCAGAATCTCTCCTAGTGTTTACTAAAAGCACAGGTTCTTAGGGCTTATTCCAAATTGACTGGATCAGAACCTCTGGTGCCAGGGAAGGCCCTGGAGCCTGGATTTTAACAGCCTCCTGGTGATATTGTGGAGCCGCAGCTTGAGAGCTGGATCTGCCCTGGGAGGATGTTGCCAGCGGGCCTGAACCCATCTGCAGAAATGCTTCATGCTCCGACTTCCTCAGCCCCCACAAATCGGTCATGACAGGTATAGACGGTGGCAGCTCCCCGAGGTCGCACTTGGGAAAAGAAAGGTAGTGAAGCCAGCCGCTCCCAGCCAGTGCTCTGAGGGCCTTTGGACCTGGCAGGCAGGCAGGCAGGGCTGTGCCAGGCTCGGGCATTTTTACCTGCCCCTCGCGCATGTTCCCTTGGCGACTAGGTGCACATTAGGCTCACACTGCACGTTGGGGTTTGGGCAGGCTATGTGGGGCCCCGCAGTGTGTCAGACCTGGCCAGGAAAGACCCAACTCCTAGAGGGTGGAGAGAATTTCAATCTGCCCATATTCCTAGCCTATCTGCAGACATTAAGCAACCATCACAGGACATGAAGCCGCTAGCTAGGACAGCTACCTGGAAAACCAGCCATCCCCAGCATCGGGGAACTGCTCTGATACTCGGTCCAGGACAGGGGCGCCTCTCCCAGGGCCTGTACTCACCGGGCATCACGCCTTTGATGTCAGTCTCGGTGTTCATGGAGTTCTTTTGGGTGAAGTGCAGGATCAACTTCTTCGCAGACTCAAACTGCTGGGTAGCCATCAGCCACCGGAGGGACTCGGGGAATACCCTTCAAAGACACAGAGGGATCGGTGAGTACCTTCTGGTTCTGGAGGGCACTGAGTTGGGCTGATGGCCCAGGCAGGTGAACTTTGAGGAGGTGTCCCACTCAGTTTCCACCCTCATGCTGTGGGATCCCATGAATGCTTAGGACTCCCATTAGCCAAATTAGGGGCAATAAGACTGTGGGTGCTGGAGTGTTGCTAACTTTTTTATAGAAAGTATAATAATTGTGATTTTTAAAATTTGGCAGAAAGGAACAACATCCTACCAACTTTGTCAGTGTACATATACTTTAAAAAATAACCATGTATTGCCCAGCCCATGTGGTTCAGTGGTTGAGCATTGACCCATGAACCAGGAGGTCATGGTTTGATTCCCGATCAAGGAACATGCCTGGGCTGTGGGCTCGATCCCCAATAGGGAGTGTGCAGGAGGCAGCCAATCAATGATTCTCTCTCATCACTGGTGTTTCTCTCTCTCTCCCTTTCTCTGAAATCAATAAAAACATTAAAAAAATAAACCTAGGTATTTCTAAACCATTGAAATCAATAACATTAAAAAAAATAAACCTAGGTATTTCTAAACCATGTCTAAGCAATCATTGAAAGGCTACATTTGTTATATTTTTTCACAGAGAAACAAATGTTAATAGGATAATTTTAAGTTCAAAAAATGCCTCCTATACTAGCAACCTGACAGTTATTTTCAGTTCTTGAAGATCTGAAGACTGATTTTCCCAGGCCTTCCCTATAGAATTAACTTCATTTTGCAAACTGCAGTAACAACTCCCTGATATGATGCCATAACACAGCAGTTTCCAAGTTCTGGTAGCAACAGATTCCTTTGCTTGCTTTTAGGATAAGATCTTGTGTAAAAGCACCAATAGAAGAAAAACTAGTGTTTTATTATCCATGCATTTTGTACGTTTACATTTATGACAACACTAGAGGACCGGTGCATGGATTCGTGCACCAGTGGGGTCCCTCAGCCTGGCCTGTGCCCTCTCACAATCCAGGACCCCTCGGGGGATGTAGTAGTGCGCTAGGGAAGAGCCTGAGCAGGGCTGAGCACTGTGCTGCTCCCACTTATCCCAGCACTGCTGCACCCGCCACCTCCGCCACTTGGTAGTGCTGCCACAGAGGTGGGAGAGGCTCGAGCCACCACAGCTGTGTTCACCAGTTGTGAGCCTGGCATCTGGCACCCGTCGTCGGGCAGCTGAGAAGCGCTCCAGCTGTGGGAGCGCACTGACCACCAGGGGGTAGCTCCTGCATTGAGTGTCTGCCCCCTGGTGGTCATTGCATGTCATAGCAACCAGTCAAACAGTAGACCAGTCGAACAGTTGACAAGTTGTTTAGGGTTTTATTAGTATACTAGAGGCCCGGTGCACAAAAATTTGTGCACTCGAGGGGCGGGGGAGGGGGGAGTCCCCCAGCCCGGCCTGTGCCCTCTCGCAGTCTGGGACCCCTCGAGAGATAACGCCCTGCTGGCTTAGGCCTGCTCCCGGGTGGCAGAGGGCAGGCCCAATCCCTAGGTGCAGCCCCTGGT